GCTCGCCGCCGTCCGGCAGGCGGAAGAGACGCTCCGCGGGGCCGCCACCGTTGCGCGCATTGAGCGACCGCCGCCGCCCCCACGCAATGATGCTGAACCGGTCGCCAATCGGAGTGCTCACGCGCGGCACGCCGTGCGTGAAGGTCGTGTTCACCTCGTTCGTGAAGGCGAAGCAGTCGCCGTTGCGTTGCGGGAACTCGAACTTGTGGCCGGTCGCATCGTGCAGGAAGAGCAGGCTGCGCGTCGCGCCTAAAGTGATGCCGACGGTGAAGTCCTCACGCTCCTGCTTGTCGCCGTACGCGTGGCTGTCGTGGTGTTGCGGCTTCCACTGCTGCCCGTCACGGTAGTAGTTCAGCCGCGTCGCGTACACGTCAACGTCGAAGTACTCCGCGAGCATCGCAATGATGTCGTTGAACGTCGCGCTAATCCCCGTCGGGTTCTCGAAGATTTGGTGCCGGCTCCACTCAATAAGGCCGCCGTCGCGCGACATGTGCGCCCCTGTCGCGGCGACCAGCTCCGTCTTCAGCTGTTCGTACAGCCGCGTGTCCTTCTCGTCGCACACAAATTGGCGGATGTACACCGTGTTGCCGCGTAATATGGAGCCGAAGTCGTCGCACAGCTGACCGTCAACGCGTGCCGCCTCAGAGCGCAGCATCGACGCCGCGCATTGCAGCGCCTCGTTGTGGAAAGCACCGCGCCTCGCGAGACGGTCTTGCAGCATCGGCGAACGCCACTTCAGTGACTCGCACGGCTGCTGCTGCTGCTGCTGGTGCACAGAGGACTCCATCGAATCCCCGTAGGAAGAGAAGAACTATGTGTCACTGAATGGTGAAGGAGGAAGGAAAGAAAGAAAGAAGGATCCGATCACACAGCTGAAGCGCTGGAAGCCAATTAGACCAATAAAGCATGCGAGGGAATCAGAGCGTCCAGCGTGACGGGGGAGGGAAACCACAACCGTAAGACATAGGTGGGTCCACATGCGCTGCATTACGCACCCACGCACACAGATGTACATGCCTATAAATCGACTTACTTCTCCACCGAAGGCTTCATCTATCTAGCCCGTGCAGCTCTACAAGACATGTCGCACAGAGAGACACGCAAAGACACACACACACACACACACAAGCACTGATACCCAGGCATTCCTGTGGGTTCAGTGCAACTGTGCCCGTTGAACGGCACCCCACGCAGGACGACGCACACTCTCAACGCGCAAAAACACGCACACGCGAGTCACTCCTCCAGCCCCCATTAAAACGCACAAGACAGTGGGAGTAGAGAGGCGGGAAAACAAACTCATGATGCCCAAAAC